GTTTGAAATGAGACTCTACTTGATTATCAAACGGATCACCTAAATCTTGAGTGAGTAAATGTACCTTTGATTGCTAGTTCAAGTTCTTTGAGGTACCAATGAGTGAAGTCTTAAATAGAAGATTGATCTCGATCTTTGGGAATCGGGCCGAAACAATTAGAAATCATATATTTACAATAGTGGAATCAATTAATCATTGAGATGAGACGATCGTCACTCTAAAATATTTTCCTAGGCAAATTGAACCTAAGCTCAGTAGGTCGACGATGAGATATATGGACTTTACATTGTGATTTGATCACAACGAATTTGCCATATGAAAATGGTACTTAGAGGGTAATACATGTTGAAGGGCAAAAGCGATCATTTTGCCAGTTTCAATATCTTGGCGGCCAAATGGAGGTTTGACTTGTGGAACGATAATCAGAGGATATTGTTACTGGATCATAATTTGCTTCTATAACTATCACTCAACTCGAGAGTGCAATCTCGATTTTTTGGTAGAATAAACCGGGATTAATAGATGTATCTCAATTGGTCAAGAGTTGACTCAATTGGAAACATCTATTGGAGCTTAGGTCATGTGAGTCCAATTAGGTCCCTCTCTTGACTCCAATAAAAGGTGTGACTCAATTGGTCTACTACAATAAAGTCCAAGGAAATTTGTGCAATTTCTAAACCCTAATAGGGCATTATAAATATGTACTTTATTGGCATATTTTCATATGAGAATTAAGGTTAGCCACTTTTCACTTTCTTGAAAGAAAATACACCTAGTGGAGAACAAGGGAGAAGATCTAAGGGAGGAAGCAATTGTCTAGGCCATTAAAAGCCCCTTCAAAAGGTTTTCATCTCCCCTTTCTATGTGTGGGGATTTTTATAATCCAATGATCTCAAAGTTACTAAGATCCTTTTATTCATATAGTTTTAATCTTCAAAGGAAAATTAATTTCCTATTGTGATGATTAAATCCATTAACCAACACCATCAGTAACAAAAAAAATTGGGCTTCTTCTCGTATAACACTGTGTCAGAAACCACGATTGTTACTCCTCTCTATCCAAACTCTATTTGGGAGCGTGTACTCCAAATTCACCTCCACGCAAACCCTAGCCTCACTGGGTCTGTGTAAGTCACGCGTGCCTCATCAATCTTTCAAGGCAACTCACTACCTTAGATGGTGCAGATAAGAATTCCTTAGCCCGCATACGTACAAGCAAGAAGGGGAAAGATATCCATAAAGGTGTGATCGAGTCTTATGTTGAGGCCAGAAGTCACAACACGCATGTCCATAAAAAACTCGCATAGGACAACCATCAATATACCACACAGGTTTCAAGAACATCCTAATATAATCATCATCATAAGGTAGGTGTATTAGAATATGTTTGACATCAATTACTCGCAAGATTAAAAAAGTAGCCACAAAGTCCAAATATTAGAAAATTCTCGTGTACTTTAATCATGCTAGGCTTCTATTGCGAGAACTTGCCAACCAGAACTGCCTCCTCATCATCCAAAGAATGATAGTCGGCTCAACCAAGTGAAGGTAAGATTCTATAGATGCAATCCTTTGGGACATAGAATCACTGGATCAACAGATTTTCTTTAGCTTCATGTTGGATTTTATGCGCATTATTAAAGAGATGAAAACGAAAATCAACATAAGAATTTTACGTGGTTCGGCGATGTGCCTACGTCCACGAGAGCGAAACCGAGATTTCTTTATTCAGTTGTCAAAAATAGGGTTACAACATATTATTTATACTAATCCTAGCCTGGGCCCATATAAGACTTTAAGGCCCGTACAGAAAATTACCCTGTACCGTACCGCGGGAGCGTTGCCCCCGCACTCCCAACCTATTCAACGTCCCTAACAACCAAACAGTGAATTAAACCCATGCAAGGCCGATGCCGTCGATGCGCTCCGTTCCGCGCCGGCATCGGCCAATTTGATCCAGGACCTGTGTTCCACTCTATATGAGCCACGTGCAAAACACTTCACTCAACCTGAGAAATACTGTGTCGACTAGAGAGGGCAACAACATAAGTCATCCTAACTTGATTCAATTCAGACCAAGCCTCATGTGGCATTGTCTATTTGCATGAGGTCCACACACCGAAGACCCACGCATGTGGCGATCCTCAATCAATGGATGCCAACTTGGTTGAGTAGGGGTGGTGGCTTTTTAGCCTTATTTGTTGTTTCGGGCAAATTTGCATCCTACCTTTTACATCCCGAGGCCAGAGGTTGCCGCTCCTAGAATGGGAGGTGTCACCTAATGCCAGAGACCTACACTCCCAGAACGGGAGGTGTCACCTAATGCCAGAGACCTATAAAGCCATCGCCAACCAACTAGAAGTGGTAACGACGCTAGGTTGGTTACTTGGGTCGCCACAAATGAAAGGAGAGGAGTCTCGTGACTGGCAGTCAACGTGATGTCAGGTAAGTGAGTCTCACAAGTTGACAATGCTAGGTCGATGCCAATGAGTATCAAATACGGGGGCATTGGGGATGGGTTTCTATTCCATTCATTGATAATAGTTAATTGTGGACAAAATGAGGGTATATCCTTGATCATATTACCACTATGAATATCACACACAAATATGACTCTCATTTACAATAGCCCATTCTCTTTGATCCTTAATTATTATGTCATCGTCTAACCATAGCACTGAAGCCAAGGGCTCCTTCAACAATTTGACAAGCATTTGTGCACAATACTCTTTCCCTTTCTCAACGTTCCCACACTAGCATCCTTACTCAGCTTACAACTTCCCATAGTTTCACCAACCAAAATGTCTACAGGATTTCCTAGCCTTCAAGTTCCCAAGAAAACTAAAATCAAGATGAGACAGAATTATTATACCATGTCGCATCATTCAAGGGGTTACAGAGATTGTAGATCGTGCTATGATACGATAAGAAATGTCGTGGTCAAGGAAAGATAAGTAATAATTGGTTAGTCTATCAAGAATGTAAATCTTTAGAGGTGAAAAAGCAATGAAGTCCAGATATTTTAGCAACTTCATATTTGATATCTCATATTTCTCGTCTTGGTGAAGTAGTCATGAGGACTGTGACAAAGATAAATCAAAAATAGCTCAAAACCATTTCATAGAACAGACCTGTCCGAAAGACCCTCACGTAAGGCTGTGATTATGCCATACTTCTTCAGAGAAGATATTCTCAATCCCTTAACCACCCCAGCTAGACCAAATGCTGCTCCACGACGCTCACCATATTTGTCACTCTTCATCAGCTGATCCAAAAGTCTAGAAACAAGAGCAGGGGCATCTTCCTGGTGCAATTAAATATAAGTGAGAAGGAAAGTAACATGTAAAACACAAATAACATGAATCAGATATTAAGAGCAAATTCTAATTAAGGTGTCAGATAAGGGAAAACCCCAAAAAGTCGAACTCAGTAACCAAAAATACATTATTAGTTACCACGTTATGAATGGGAAATCCAAAGTAGATTTTAGAACTAATAAACAGGAAAAACATTGACACTGCATCTGTGGGAAGGTAGTTTTGTTGCCCCACGCATCAATGAAATATGTGATCAGGAATTGCAGATAACTCAAAAATGATAAATGCTTTCTCTTCCCTAGATGATATATCTACGTTTTCTCCTAGGAAAAATCTTATTCAACAGGGGGGAAAATAACAAATCAAAATTCATTTAAATGACACTGATAGTTGTTTACAAGAGCCGGATGCACCTGCTTTGATTGCATTAATGGAGAAAGGCAAGTTGAAACTGCCCTTTGAACAGCTTCAGAAGGAGTGTTTATCACATCTAACAGCTTCTCCACAACAGCATGAACCTTTGGGTCTCCCTGTCAAAAAAATATAATAAAAATTGAATTTCAGATAATACCTCCAACTTTGTATCAATAGATTTACATAAGAACGTATTAACACCTCGGCCAGATGCTTTGCTAGAGCCCCAGTGAATATAACCACTCCTTCACGCACTAAATCATATTTTTCCTCATCTGAGGCCTGCAAAATAAAACGTAAATGACAAGACAAGGACAAGATTTTATAATGCTTTCAATAAGTATCCTAGTCCCCTTTTATATATATCTTGAATTAAATAAAGGAGAAGAACTATACAATGGCAATCACTGGATGCAGGAGGCTGTAAAAGAATATCACATAGATATGAACATCTACCATACGACATCGTTTAAGATTCTTGAAACATAAGAATCGGGGAAACTTTTGTAGGGCACTTGCCTTTTTGTTCAAGTAGTTTTCAAATATGGGAAACAACAATGCCACATTATCCCTTCCATGCTTATCAATAATAGTAATACCAGCATCAATCATCCGACCTCGGACATCTGCATTACCATCAGCCTGCAGTTCAAAGTAATCAAACCTTTAATTCAAAAAGGAGAAAGTAAGAATAAGAAATAAAGATGAAGTTAGTGGAAATCTACTTAGTAAAGATGGAAAAGACAATGTCTCCTTCATCCCAACAAAAATTGCAGATACTTAGTAATTTGACTTGTTATGTTCAATATACCCAATATACCAGTTGCTGAAGTAGTGGCAGATTCTAAGTTCCTTACAATGATATGGTAAAACAAAAAAGGTTACAGCTTCTCTGTTAATTAGAACAGAACAGCAGGAAAGTGAGGAAAAGCTACATAATGATTTACTTTTTCTGCAGTCAAGTCAGAAAAACTATCGCAAGTCATTAATTATCAATTAACCATGAATGCCACTAATCAGGTAACAAGGTCAGGTTCTCTCCATAAATTATATACCACAGAAAACATGATATAACCATAGGTAAAGCAGTAGGGTGCCAGGCACATTAGTGATAATAAAACCAATGGTAATAGAATGCATTCAAGAAATGATTACAAGAAATCAATGTAAATATTAAACAGTGAAACATGAGCAGGAAATGATTACCAGCGCCCGTGATATCAGAAATGTCATCACAACAGGGAGGTCTTTGGTTCCAAGTACATCTGCCACAGAAAGTAAAGCCAAAGCAATCCCTTGTCTGCCTAACCAAGCAGCATCAATGTTATCCTCACCAAATCCAGCATCACGGATATACAAAGAAAACAGTGTCGACAGTGATTCCTGAAGGCATTCACAAACAGTAAGGCAATCCACATCGGCAATTTATTTCAGAGTGGAGAGATGGATTTGAATATACCTGTATCGTATCAGGGTTTTCATCTAAAGCAGCAGCTAATGCCTCAGCAGCAGCAACTCGAACGTTATAGTTATCATGAGAAAGTGCTTTGAAAAGACCAGAATAATCTGTTCCAAAGTCATATCTATAACAATCCCATACATACTCTGCAGCTTCCGCAACTGACTGAACACGGACGATACAAAAGTTACTGTTTTGTGGTCAATGTTTTTATCTAATGAGGAAAGTCTACAGCAATGGAAAAACCTAATAACCAGCAAAAGAAAACCACTTGGAGCATCAAATAGTAACGTGTATTACATAATTATCAGACCCGACCCGGTCGTCAACCGGGATAACCTTTGGGAGTCTGGTAAATGAGGCCAAATGTTCAACCAGTGGATCACTACTGGATCGTAAATCTGGATAAAATATATTTCTCAAACTAAAGAATTATGTGTGTATAAAAAAATTTTATAATCGATGGGTCATTGATTCATTTCTTCTATATTTTAACAATAAAACATAAATCATGATCAATATTTTGGTTACAATACCCAACACTTAGTTTCATATTTTTATTCCCAAAATATAGGAATTTTTAAAGGTATTATTTGAATTCTTCAAATAGCGTTTATATTTTTTATTTTTAATTCTTAAATTAATGAAAGTTTTAAATTGTAAAAAATAAATTATTTCACTGTTGAGATATATATTATTTCCAAACATTGAAGAAATATGCTTTAGCGTGTCATCGTGGTACGCATTCAACTATACCACATAGAACATCAGGGTTTGAACCTCCCAAATTGTCATTTGCATTTTTCTTGATGGGTTTGGTTTTGGAGTGGTTCAACCGAACCAGTTTTCTTCAAAACCCGCAGGTTACCTGGTTTGAACTGGTTCATGCAGGTCTTGACCAGTTGGAATGCTAAACAGTTCAACTGTGCAAACCAATTCGGTTCACTTGGCCAGGGCACCTGACCCATTGGTCTGGTTTAAGTTTAATGACTATGTACTGCAAACAACTCGGATAAAAGAATCTGTAAGGAATAAAATATTGGGCTCTGCAAAATTATAGTTCCTGGACCCCACAGTGAAAGGATGATCACAGCACCAGCACTTTATCTAAATGCCACATGTAGGCAAATACATTACAATCTTATTACAAAAAAAAATTATTTTTTTTTTTTTATAAGTATTACAAAATTTGACAAGGTAAATATATATAGTCATAGTAAAGTTGGCTACTATTTAATTTGTTTTTTGGAAGTGAGCTTGAGTCTTAAATAATAATACTCAATTACTAGCTAGGCAGAGCTAATGTCAACCATATAAATAAAATTCCTTAAAAAGGCCCATCAAAAGTGACCCAATAACTGAAAAGTTACTAAAGACTTCAATAGCAAAAATGGTCCCACATTAAAATTTTCTAGAATTTCTCACTCGAAGCCAAACTAAGTGCGGTACCAGATCAAAGTAGAACTTGAATATGTTAATTAAAGCACTGTTTGAATAATACTAACTTCAAGACAGGATACTTTTGCTAATCCAAGAAGCATCAGTTGTTTAGCCCACCTCAAAATCCCTTAACTCTTCCCGAGATAACAACTGCCTTGCATTTGCATGTACCACCTCTACAAGGTCCATAAACTTAATGGGTACATTTTTTATTTGAAAACCAGGACATGGCCACTCTTCCTCCAACCCCCAGTTTGAATTTACAAGTGGATCAGATTCATGTAAAAACTTACACCTCCATTGTTCCTCGTACCTCCACATGCTAAACTTACACCTCCATTGTTCCTCGTACCTCCACGTGCTATTTGGTGTGTTTAAACCACATCTGCTATCAACCTTAATAAACCCCAGAAGTCAACTTCTTTTTCAAATCAGCTATCCAATTTAATCTCTGCCGACTAATTGACTGGCAAGCAATCCAGAAACCTCTACTGCAAAATGCCAAATTTTTGTGCCACCATCTCCCAACAAATGCCATCAACCCCTAGCTTCAATAGCCCAATGCTGGAAATTTCTTCCCTTGGTCTGTAATTTAACAAAGCAGAATAATCAACTAACAATTTCTGACCAAAATCTCCTCCCCCACCACCTCTTTTCCTTCATTAGGTTGTGATCAGCTTAAAGCTTCAAGTGATTGCTCTCCTACCCATAGATTTCTTCCTTCTCAACCCTGATCTCTCTTACAAACCCCTTCTTCCTTTCTATGAATCTAAACTTGAAAGTGTTTATGCTACCCCACACAAAGATCTCAAAGGTCCTGAGTTCAACATGAAAGCCTCAGAAAGAATACCATTATATGCTATTTATAGGGATTCAAATATATCTGCAATTAATTATAATGACACATCTCGAATATTAAAATAATAGGAAAAAACAACATCAAGCCTATACAACAAAACGATTCGGAAAAATACTACACCTTCTCTGGATCATGTAAAGCAAGCCAAAGGCTGGTTGCAACCTCTACATTTTGAGGAATGGAACAGTTCGAAACAGCAGGAATGCATTTTACAGCATTCAAGCAAGCCATTCTGACATGAATACCTTTGGCATAAACGCCATATAGTGCCTGCCAAAGCACATAAATTAAAATTATGTCACAGACTGCTGGAAGTTGATTGCTAAAGTGAACTACTGAGAAATAGAGCACTGACAGATGCGACTTCATCAGGTTGCAAACCCAGGCACAACTCATTCAATGCTGGCCCAATAGATGCTTGATAGGCAGGAACAACACCAAGAACATGATACAAGACCTGCAAAATAAACCGTGAGCAACAGACTAAAAGATTAACTGGACATAATCCACTGCAGTATGCATCTTTGGATCGTAACTGATAGCATTCGGATCCTTGGTAAGGGTAGAATAGGATCCATGTGCAAGAAAAGTATCTGGAGAACATCATCATGAAGGCCTGTCTTCTTGGGAGATAGCAGAATTCGTTCCATTATCTACGTGAAAAAATTGAAATAGAGGAGCAAATAATTTTTAAGTTGATAGAAGCATCAATAAATTGATCCAGTAATAATTATGAAAACAGGTTAAACAATGTACCGGAAAAATGAACTTAAATGAATCAACTGGAAGAGGTCCAGATTTGCAAGAAATTGATAAGCCATTAACCACTCGCTCAAAGAGACCCACGGCTGGCCCTCCATTGACTTCCGCTTCAGCAACAGGTGGAAATAACTTCAACAAAACATTAGCTTCTTCTGTCACAATCAGTTGCAGCGCAGTTGCAATCTCAAGAGCCCAATTACAGAGAGGATCAGCTGTACATTTTGAGAGTTTCACCATGGTCTCGAACGCCATGTCACCAACAATGGTTGAATGGAGTAAAGGATTAACAAACTTAACCTGAATTTTCATGAAATCAACAAAACGAACAAAAAAGGCAAGGTTGAAATAAAGGAACAATACATATTACTTGTTTTATAGTTGAGTTGAAAGCAGAAGGTATCAATGTTTCAAGTGCAAGGGTATTCTTAAGAAAGGAACATCACATTAGATCATTTGGAAGTACAAAAATGATTAATAATGTATTTTGTAGGTAGAAGCGTAAGCAGGGTGCTGGAGTCACAATATAAATAAATAACTATGGAAATGATAATTCTAAACCGTATAAATCACTGGAAAGATCCCTTAAAACATCAGGACAAGGAAAATTAAAAAATTCGAGAAACAAGGGGAGAAATAGATGAAAAGGAAAGGGTGAAAACAGAATATGATAACAAAATAAGAATAATGGACAATTTTTCACACTAAGTGTGAAACACAATACTCATAATAAAATGTTGATAACAGGACTGAAAACGATGAAAGGAGACATCTTCTCTTCTTTTCAATTCTTGACAAACGTACACCCTAGTTACAAAGTAACAATAAATCTTCTATTCATGTTATTTATTTTTGCAACAAGATGGACACCAATAAAAAACAGCCACTTCAGATAAATCATGAGCACGTAAACCTCTTCAAATACAATAACCCAATCTTACCACTATAGATAGCAAAGTAGTAAATATATCAAATTAGACGTAAGATAAACCCAAAATATTTTATTAACCATCTTCATCATCTTGTTTCTTAACATAAACAATTAGAAACTGTCCAATAATTGCTGACCATAAAACCTTTGCTGCATACTTCTTTTGATTTCCAGAATCGTTGATAGCATGGAACAAAACAAGGAATTGACTTCAGTTGTTATGAGCAGTTGAGCACAGCATTTAAGTCTTCTCTAATTCAATGTTAAAATAACTTTTAGTTAAGAGCTTATGAGAAAGTAAACTGCATCCCATTTTCTGATCATCTTCCACTTGGTCATCTTTTCAAATCAAAGTTCTGCATCACAAAATTATTTTAATGTGGCCCGGATAAAGCACCTAAACTAAAAGTTAACATTTCTTTTCATTCAACATGACCAAAACAAGGCACAGCAATGTAAGCAAAACTTAATCATAATTAAAAACAATAAAGAAAAGGATGGTACAAAGGGGAGGTGCATATGATACAAAGGGGCACGTAAAGCTAGTTTTCAAGTGAACCTCATGCTGAGACAAGGTGCCGATGTATTTGTAGACGTTTCAAATACAAAGGTGCAGATGTTCAAGGTATTCCTCAGTGTACTATAGAATATAGAAGAACTAACCAAGGATGGTAGCTGACTGTGTGTGAAAACAGGATTAGCTAATGCCATTTCTCCCAAGGCTTTGAGCATCAAAGAAAGGTTCTTTTGTATACCCGTGACCTTCTCACGAATGCATGCCTCCTCCCTAAGCTGCAGATCGCGTGCCTCTTCTTTTGCTGTCTTTGCTTTCTCTGAAAAATAAAAAGAATGGAAACAAGGGATAAATACATTACTTGTACTCAAAATGATTGAAATTTTGACGTAATTTCATATGCTTGAATGAATACGTGCCAGTTTTCTTCAGTGATTTTGCAGCATCCTTTTTCCCTACACCACCAACCTCCTTACTGGGAGGATCCCATCTTCCTGAATGGTTTGATTTGACTTGGTCCTGAAAACATGAACATCCTAGTAAGGAACAACATTATAGAACATTTCTGTATATCTTGCTGAAAATTCACAAGTAATCACCAGGCTGTCATCGTTATCATAAGTTCGAAAACGTCCTTTTGCTTGTTTCACATTCTTAGCAGCAACAGATTCTGCAACATAAATACCTTGCTCACTTGATAGCATTCCCTCAGGAGTACGAAAGATCTGAAAACAAATGGGAATGACAGCAAATGTGAGAATTCATCACTAAACAATGACACTGCAAAGAAAGAAATACCATCTGACACTAACTCCCAAGATGTCAACGGTCAAAGAATGATGTGATATAAGAAATCTAATTCAAAGATAGCTAAAAAGGGAAAGCTACAGCTGCCTAATAAGTGGTATCGTCCCCCTCGAAATATTTGGGACTTCCTTTGGATGGAATGATCTCCTTCTCTCTCGAAATCTCAGATCTCCCATGGTTGAAACAGTGTAAAGAATCAGGTAGATGGGAAAGGCTGTTTTATCCCCAGAGTAGGAAGATATAGGAGTCCAACTGAATGCAAGAGTCATAGTCCAATAAAAGGATAAATCGGAATCATGCCTTCAAGAGAAATACAGTCCATTTCTTTATTAGTTCACCAACCAATTTATTATGCCTTCATTTAGAATGTTGAGGAAGATTGACCCCACTTTAGAAAAGATTAATGGAGCTTTTTGGGAGGGAAGTGAGGAGAGTCAGAAATATCATTTAATGCATTGAATTTGGTGATTGGGAGCAAAAGGGGAAAGGTTAGGAGTGGAATACAGTGCCGAAGCATTATGTGGCCCAAAAGATCGCATGGATTGAAGTTTCCTCTATTCCATTCTAGAGGGCTTTGGATTCGATCAGGTAGTGCATTTTGGAATGCCTGTTCTCAGTACTCCTCAATGACAGCCCTCATGAATTCTTCCCTTTTCTCACAAGGTCTATGACAGGGCGATACCATCTCGCTATTTCTTTTCATCATTGTTGATAACAACTCTTGTTTACTCACCCAGCAATTCCAGACTTACGGGCTATCAGCATGGAGGTAGTACTCTTGTCCCACGTCTCTCTTTCATTGACGACGATTATATTTGCCAACAACCATAAGAAGTCTATCCGAAGGTTACTTGATTGCCTAAAGCATTATGAGGGTATTTCTGATTCATTGATGAATAGAGAAAAAAGTGTACTTATATTGCATTGAAAGGCATCCCTTAAGCAGATCAAGAGATTGAAGCATTTAACTAGCTTTAGGCATCAGCAGCCATTTACTCATTTGGGATCCCCCTATATAAGGGGGTTAAGTGAATTTTCTTATATGATGACCTTATTCAGAAGGTAAAGAGCAGCATATCAGGTTGAGCTTCACACCATTATCTTTTGGGGTCGAATCATACTATTGAAGTCCATTCTCTCCTCTTTACCACTTTATCCACATCAGAATATGCAGCCAGATGAGTATATTTTTCATAGTATTATGCTATAAACACCTATGGCTGCATGCAGCCAACAAACCGTTTATTGCCAAGTCATATTTTAGGAGCAGCGTGACAAAACACATCTGGCTGCACCTAGCACCAACATGCCTCTTGTCATAGATATACCTTAAGCCATCAATGCAATTGCTAGTGCTATACCTTTACTACATCTTTCAAAATCTTGTCTCAAGGTTCAAACATGCCACAAATTTGAAATTTATTCAATATTCTATATCTAACTGACAAGTAGATTTGTGTCTGCAATTACAAAACTGACAAGTAGATTTTCAACCATAATGAGATAAGTGTTTAGAAATAGTCCAAACTTCTTCTCACCTTATGCCCTCACTTTTCACTTGCTGGATTCCTCATGGTCTACAAACATTTTCAACTGTTGACTGGATACTTTATGCATATTACCAACTTTCCTTGCCTTCAAGATACTTGCCTTCTTATCCATATTCTCCAATTTTAAACCCTTTTCCATATCCGTAGGCTTGTTATGGCTCTGTAATAAACTGGTTTTACTCCAAAACATTGAAATGGAACTTCAGCCAATGGTAAAGAACTGATTTGCGACAAGGGGCCTAATTCTACCGAATTAACTATGAACCTAATCTATAGGGATATAATCCCAACGTGAATGAGGAAAACAACTTACGGGCTAAAATGTATTTGCTTAAGCAAAGTTTTTTGGCCAAACTTTGGGATTTGGACATGGCAGACAATGACTTTTGCCTATGTGTACTGTTCAACAGCCTTCGGCAACATGCTATATCATGTCCCTTCTCTCACCTAACATAAGGCTTCTTGGCACATGTGATATCTTCCTTCTCTTTCCTCAATTCCTTAGCAAAACCTACTCCACAACTCTCTTGATCCAATATCCTTCAAAATTTAACTAGAGAATTTTCAAGTCTTTTGATAATGTCTTGCTAGTTATGACGAGTAAGTGGTTTCAGCAGCATAACTTGGACATTAAAGGCACATGAAGAAATGCATCTTTTCAAGACAAACATCAATGAATGCATGAAGCGAGATTGACACAGTCTTAGGGTAAAGCAGCTGAGCACAACTAGAGTTTGGCAGCATAGAACTGGGTTTT